CCGATCGGGCGGGGCCGACTTGGCCGACGACCCCTTGAACAGTGGATACGGTGTGTGTGTGTGTGTGTGTGTGTGTGTGTGTGTGTGTGTGCTGCGTTCTCCCAGGATAACTATACGCTTCTTCTGGCTCCCACGGGGTCCGGGAGGCTTCGTCGACCCTGCTGCTTTTTTGTCCAGGGTATAAGCTTTGGGGAGGGGGCTTTTTCGACCCTGCTCCCGCGCCCTTGGCGGGCTCCGCGAACGCCCGAGGCCCAGCATATCCAGGAGGTGGCGAATGACTTCGGCTCCGCCTTCTGGGCCTGCAGCACACGTCCCCAGTCCTGTGTGTCGCCGTAGGGCGACCTCCCCTGCCATTGGCACTGGAGGGTCTTGAGGAGGCCATTGCCGGATGCATATGGGCTGTGTTAAGCACACATGTATATGTATAGGTTATATGGTTTTCGCGGCTCATTCATGGTATTACGCCGTACACTTGCTTTGAAGTCCTATGTGAGGCGTGTGAGTGAACGTGGGTGAGCCCGCGCCTATATGGATTTCTCCAAGAATTTGGATGTGATTCGCGGGTCTCTGCCACCAACACCAATATCGGCGGCGTGCCTCCACCGAGGGAAGATGACCCCGATCCCGGTGATGGTGGTAATGCTCAGGGTTCCCAGGTGGCAGAAAAGTCCCCACCAACATTAACATCTAGGGTAATCTTGCTAACATGGAGGCGAAATCTGTTGTTGGTGCCTCTTTCCAAGCATCCAATCACAGGTTTCCCGTGAGTCGCTGTGTCACGTGCAGAGTTGTTGCGCAAGTCGCACAAGCCCCCCCCAGCTGGCAGTTTGGCGGTCAGACAGGTTAATGGTAATCTGGAGCTGTATGTCGTGCAGACAGAACCTGACGTTCAGGACCGTAATAGCGCGTTGGTTACCCATTGGGAATCTCGCGTGTAAGGCGCATTAGCATCAAAATGGAAAGTCGAGGACGGGCGAGATTGTCAGAGACGCCTGCCCGCATTCTTGTTTACGAGCTTAGCGGGGGTGGGATGGCCCAGCAGCTACGCCAACAATTCTCGCCGAGAGGAGTCATTTAGCGGCGACGAGGGAAATCTCCTCCTGCTTCTCAATCCTCCCTCTCCTCCTGCTCCTCCTCCTCCTGCTCCTCTTCCTCCTCCTCCTCCTCCTTCTCCTCCTCCCCTGTTCCTCGACCCTCTTCGTTCTTCGATCCTCGCTCCAACTCTCATTCTCGAGCATCCTCCCCTTCCTCCTCGATTCTCCTCTCCTTCCTCCTTCTCGATGTCCTCCACATTCTGTTTGACCCTCGGCTCGATCCTCGATCCTCATCGATACTTGATCCAGCTCCTCCTCATCACCCCTCTCTCGATCTCCCTCGATCTTCAATCCTCGATCCTCCTTGAGCTTCGAGTCTCGAATCTCTCCATTCTCATCCGGCTCATCCTTCTCCTCCCCCTCCCCCTCCATTTCACCCCTCTCTCGATTCTCTTGATTTTCCTCGATCCTCCTCGGTCATCGATCCTTCTCGATCCTCGAATATCGATTCTCCTCATTCTCCTCCTCGACCCTCGATTCTCCCTCGTCCTCCTCCTCCTTGTCGTCCTCCTCCTCATCTTCGATGCTCGTCAGCCTTTGGCCCTCGATCCTCGATAGTCGACCCTGCTCGATCAGCCCGCGCCTCGATCCTCGACCCTCCTCGACCCTCCTCCATCCTCGGCCATCGGCCCCCCCTCTCCTCTTCGACCCCGCCCTTCCACGTCGATCCTCCTCGATTCTGCATCGTCGATGTCCCCCTCGATTGCCATCCTCCTCCTCCTCCTCCTCCTCCTCCTCCTCCTCCTCCTCCTCCTTGGTCCTCCACCCTCTTCCTTATCCACTTCGATCCTCCTTCTCCATCTCCACATCGACGCCCTAGATCCTCGATCCTCTTCTCGGTCATCGATCTGCCTCCTCCTCCTCCTCAGTCCTCGATCCTCCTCCCTCTCGACCATCTTCCTTGATCCTCGATCCTCATCCTCGATACTCAATCTTCCTGGATACCCGATGGTCCGTCCTCGATCTTCTTCTTACTCCTCACTTCCATCTCCACCTGTCGACCTCCAGCGCCCACCAAGTCAGCATTCCGACCTCCAGCTTCTAGCGTCCGACTTCCCGCTTCCACCTCCATCGTTCGAACTCCCAACCTCCACCAGCTCAACATTACGACCTCCAGCCTCTAGCATGCGACTTTCCACATCCACCTCCCCCCATCGACCTCCAGCGTCCACCAGGTCAGCATTCCAATATCTAACCTCTAGCATCCGATTTTCCACCTCCACCTCCACCTATCGACCTCCAGCGTCCATCAGCTCAACAGTAAGACCTCCAACCTCTAACATCCGACGCTCCACTTCCAGCTCAACCAATCGACATCCAGCGTACACCAGTTCAGCACTCCGACTTACAAGCTCCAGCATCCGACTCTCACACGATGCATTCGCTGCCTTGCGTTGAGTTCACTGCTGTGGATGCGCCTGCGAGAGCCCCAGGGACTTCTCGAGGCCGCTTGGTGCATAGTGGGGCCCAGAATGTTACTTAAGACCGGGCTTCTTTCTGAGGGGCAGAAGAACGCGCAAATGTTACTTCATACCAGCCGTGCAAAAATCTCCCGCATCCGACTCTCCACTTCCACATCCACCTATCGACCTCCAGCGTCCATCAGCTCAACATTACGACCTCCAACCTCTACCATGCGACTCTTCACTTCCACCTCCACCGATCGACTTCCTTACCTCCACCAGCTCAGCGCTCCGACCTCCAACCTCTAGCGTCCGACTTTCCACTTCCACCTTCACCTATCGACCTCCAGCGTCCATCAGCTCAACATTACGACCTCCAACCTCTAGCATGCGACTCTTCACTTCCACATCTACCAATCGACCTCCACCGTCCACCAGCTCAGCGCTCCGACCTCCAACCCCTAGCATCCGACTTTCCACTTCCAGCTCCACCGATCGACCTGCAACGTTCACCAGCTCAACATTACGACCTCCATTCTCCAGCCTGCGACTTTCCGCTTCCACCTCCACCGATCGACTTGCCTACCTCCACCAGTTCAGTATTCCAACCTCCAACCTCTAATCGACCTCCAGCGTCTACCATGTCAGCACTCCGACTTGCAATCTCCAGCATCCGACGCTCCACCTCAACTTCCACCTATCGACCTCCAACGTCCATCAGCTCATTATTAAGACCTCCAACCTCCAGCATCCGACTCTCCACTTCCAGCTCGACCAATCGACCTCCAGCGTCCACCAGCTCATCACTCCGACCACCAACGTCTAGCATCCGGCTTTCGATCCACCTCCACCTATCGACATCCAGCGTCCAACAGCCCCGCATTCCGACCTCCAGCATCTAGCATCTGACTCTCCACTCCCACCTCTATGTATCGACTTCCGACGCCTACCAAATCAGCACTCCAACAACCAACCTTTAGCATCCGACTCTCGACTTCTACCTCCACCAATCGACTTCCACCCTCCACCAGCACAACATCCCGACCTCAAATTTCTAGCCTCCGACTTCCCGTTTCCACCGCCAATCGACCTCCAGCTTATGGGCCTTCGGTTGCGCGTGTATCTGCGCCCTGAGTGGTATCTGAAGGAGGTGTCAAAGAGCTCGTGAGAACACGAGTGATCCTGCGCCCGTGTGCACTGGATTGGAGTTCCGAGGCGTTCAACTCGTTCGTGTTTGGCTTGGGCGTCGCGGTACAGAAAGGATGATGACATCCACGGGATTCTCCGACAGGCTCATGCTACAGACACTGCGACTTCAACGAAACCACGTCACTACATCGGATTACAATCAAGGAGTGGGAACACTTGGTACATCAGTTCGTGAGGTACGCACTATCCTGAGCAAGCCTCCGACGCGCGATGCCTCTCATGCGAGGCCATGGCCTCACCTGCCTCGCCCTTAAGGGGCCCAGGCGCATGCCCGCACAGGCGATCCGATCCGATCCGATACTCCTCGATCCTCCTCGCCTCTGGGTCCCCAGCACTCCTCAGTCATTCACTGAATGTCATTGGTCTCCAGTGGACGGCATGTCGTGGGCGCCGTGGAGGCTACGGAGGGGATGGCGTGGGAGGCTCCGAGGGCCCCAGAGGTGCGTTGGCGAGTTCGTATGCCCCCCCCCCCAAATGGACGCCTCGCACTCCTGTTCACCCCCGGGCCTTCCGGGGTCAGCCGACTCTTGTGCAAAAGTGCCGAGTGGCGCCGGCAGGCGACTCCTTGCAAGGTTTCCCTGGGGCGCCCCCCCGCCGCTGTTCGAGGACTTGACAAACGGCGCCAGCCCGAGATCCGACGTCACAAACAGAATTGCAGCCCGGCCGCATCATAAGGACGCGCAGTGAGGATGCAAGGGCCTTGGAGGGCCATTCCGAAGCTTCCCGAGCGGGGCGCGGCCAAGGAAAGTTGGCCGAGGATGGACTGAGGAGGCGAGGATGCAAGGTTCCTCTTGGGAAGGTTGCCCATCCTTCCTATGCGGGTTGACTGTAGTGCCCAGCCGGAATGTATATTTCGCATTGGTTCTTGCCTCTTGAACAAACAACGAATGCTCGCACCCGCCCATTACGTTGAGCTCAGAAGGGACGGCCCTTGGGAAGGTTGCCCATCCTTACTGTGCGGGTTGACTGCAAACAGTTCAGCGATCTCACAATCGGAGCACCCTCGACCCCGCCTCTCTCCGTGGGTACGCTTCGAGCCGCATATCGTTCCGAGAGGGCTCCCCGGAGAGCCCGCGAGTGGGCACGCAAACGCCCGACGTCAAACAAAAAAGATGCGACGCCCCCATCGCGGAATTCTACAGTGGAGGCTTATGCCAAGAAACACCGTGCTTGGCTCCAGGGTGCCGTGGGTTTCTTGGGTTTCTGCTATGGAACGCGTGACGTTTCCTCACCAAGAATCAATGGACGTCCTGGAGTCTCAGGGTCGGGTTTCTTGTGGAAGGTTTCTTGCGGACTGCTCGAGACCAGCTGGAGCGCTGCCCAGACCTTGCTCTCGAGACTGGCCGTCCCATTCTCCCCCACCTCTCCGCTCCGCCCGCCTCGCACGCGCCCCGCCGTGTATACTGGTGCCAGCGCCATGGCGGAGGCCCCGGGGGGAGACGGCAGGAAGCGCCCGGCGCCCGACGACCCAGCGCCCGTGGACGGCCTGGCGTACGAGAAGGCGAGAGCCCTGCCCCACCTCCTGGTCCTCTTGCTCCTGTCGAAAAAGACAAGCGCCTTGAACGTAACCTTTGGGCGCTCCGCGCGGAGTTCTTGGATCGGCGCTGGGCCCCCCCAGGCGGCGCCTCCGGCGCCGCCCCTGGCGCGCTCCGCGCGCCGGGGAGGGGGGTCCGGCGCAGGTCCAAGAGATCCGCGCGGAACGCCCAAAGTTTATGTTCATGCCATTCGTTCTTGTTCTATCCTGGCAAAACCAGACGTTCTCCCGCCGTGACAGGAAAAACAAGGTACAAGCTACAACAAAAACAACGCAAACATAACAAACTCAACGGAAGATGTTGGACAGTTTCCTGCTTCCGAGTGCCCCTAAAACAGGCCCCAGGGACGTCAAGCACGATTCGGGATTCCGTTGTCTCCTGGACCTCTGGCGGTCCACGCTGGGGGACAAGTGCACGGCGTCGGATACTTGGGAAGGGTGGACAGGTGTTTCCTCTCTTCCTCGCCCTCCTCTCCTTACGCGCCCGTCAAAGGGGCAGCGCGACTTCTCTGTGAAAGAGGGCGCACAGACCAAGGCGATCAAGATGGATTTCGTGAACGAGCGCAAGGAGTACACAAACGGCGTGGTGGCCCGGAACGCGTGGCGCTCTCACAAGGGGCCGCTCAGTGGTGAGACGGTGCGGATTCCAGACGTGGATTCAGGTTATCCCAAGGGGGTGTTCCCGTCCAAATGGGAGGAGGGCAAAGCGATGCCGGCAAGCGTGGAGGCCTTCGAGATCGGCGATGGCTTCCCAGACGTCAATGAGCACAAGATGAAGTTCGGGGTCATCATACCGTCCACCAACACGACGGTGGAGTATGATTTCTGGAGCATGATCATGCAGAACAGGGAGGTGTGCAAGGGCATCGGCTTTCATATGTCTGGCATCCTGATTGACTCGCCAAAGTTAGCAACGGACGAGGACATGCTGCACTTCCTGACAATGTTTCGCAGACAACTGTTCACGACGGTCGACAGGCTCATGACTGCGGAGCCGCAGTACATCATCATGGGCATGTCTCTGGAGACCTTCTTCGGCGGCTGGGTGGGCAACCAGGAGTTCAAGGCAGAACTCACGGAGCGCACGGGGCTAAACATCGCGACCGGCGCGGAAGCCTGCAAGGCATCCTTGGAGAAGTTTAATGCAAAGAAGATTTCCGTGATCACGCCTTACCAGGACATTGGCGACAAGAACGTCATCAAGTTCTTCTCGGAAATCGGCGTCGAGGTTCGGGCGGGGCTAGGACGATGATAAATCCTGTCCAGAGCGTTCCGGAATGCTCTGAGAGCGTTCCAGAACGCTCTGATAAGGCCGTGGCGCCCGAGACATCCTTCGGAGCCGCCGGATCTCTGAGATTCTCGATCTATCTTCACCCGATTGTATCCTCGTCCTGGCTTCGCCTTCGAGGTCGTCCGCATCGCGGGCCTGAAGTGCGGCTCCGCCACCGACATCGCCCACGTCCCCGAGAGCTGGTGCGAGAAGGTGATCCGTGGCGGGCTTTCGCGCCGCGCGCCGCCGAAGCCCCCCCTGCTCCGGCGCCGCGCAGCCGGACGTCTCTCGCGGAGAACGCGTAATGGGGTGGTGGTGGTGAAGGGGGGGGCAGCGAGGGCTGCAAAAAAGGGGCCCTGTAGGGCCCCTAGAGGGGCTTAAGGCCCAGGAGGGGGACCTTAGGGCCCAAAACGGGCACTTCTCTTCCCCCTCAAAAAGGGCACCTTTCTTCCCCCCCCCTCATCTATCGCCCCCCATTCATTCGCACCCAAATTCACCGAGCGCGTTCCACCACTCGCAAAGTGCCTACTCGCAAACGGCTGAACAAAAAATTAGCCTGGCGAAGGACCCAACCATATGCAGTTGTGAATGCCGCAATTGTGCTGGGTGGTGGCGGACGCATGCGGGCGGTGCCACTGGGACCTGTGGGTGAGACGCGGTCAGCAAGGGCTGTGCTGCGTGGTGGCGGACGCATGCGAGCGGTGCCACTGGGACCTTCGGTGGAGCTCCCTATGGGGCCACGAAACGCTGTACTGGGTGGGTGAAGCGCAGGCAGGGAGCAAGGGCTGCGCAGGGTGGTGGCGGACGCGTGCGGGCGGTGCCGCTGGGACCTTTGGTGGAGCTCCCTATAGGGCTACGAAGCGCTGTTCTGGGTGGGTGAAGCGCAGGGAACAAGGGCTGTGCTGGGTGGTGGCGGACGCAAGCGGGCAGTGCCACTGGGACCTTTGGTGGAGCCCCCTATGGGGCCACGAAACGTGCGAGGGGTGTGCCAGAATGGGGTGTGGAACCGCATGCCAGCGCAGCCACTGGGGCCTTCGGTGGAGCTCCCTATGGAGCCACGAAACGTGTGAGGGGTGTGCCGAAATGGGGGGTGGAACCGCATGCGAGCGCAGCCACTGCGGCGTTCGGTGGAGCTCCCTATGGGGCCACGAGACGTGTGAAGGGCGTGCCGAAAAAAGGGGGTGGAACCGCATGCGAGCGCAGCACTGGGGCCGGTGGAGCTCTCTATGGGGCCACGAACGTGTGAGGGGTGTGCCAGAATGGGGGGTGGAACCGCATGCGGGCGCAGCCACTGGGGCCTTCGGTGGAGCTCCCTATGGGGCCACGAAACGTGTGAGGGGTGTGCCAGAATGGGGGTGGAACCGCATGCGGGCGCAGCCACTGGGGCCTTCGGTGGAGCTCCCTATGGGGCCACGAAACGTGTGAGGGGTGTGCCAGATTGGGGGGTGGAACCGCATGCGGGCGCAGCCACTGGGGCCTTCGGTGGAGCTCCCTATGGGGCCACGAAACGTGTGAGGGGTGTGCCAGAATGGGGGGTGGAACCGCATGCGGGCGCAGCCACTGGGGCCTTCGGTGGAGCTCCCTATGGGGCCACGAAACGTGTGAGGGGTGTGCCAGAATGGGTGTGGGAGGGGGAGGAGGGGGGAGGAAGGGGAGGAGGAGGAAGGAGGAGGAGGAACGCGGGGCGACGTCTCTTCAAAACGAGGACCCAACACCACAGGATGGTTGGGAAAAACATGCCTGCATCGATGTAATGTATCGTCAATCCCCCGTGGCGGATCCAGGCCATTTGCGAGTAGCTCTCTTGCGCGTCGTGGGACGCGCTCGTCTACGAATGCGCCCGCCGTCGCAGTCACCCCCAGGTCCGTGGTGCTGGGCCAGGCGCAGGGAGGGACTACAGAGGGATACAGTCGGGGCCCTGAAGAAGGAACCCTTATGCTTGGGGAGGGGCTCCGCGTTCCTTAAGTGTTTCACAGCTTGCCTCAAGTTTCCCTTATGCTTTCGATAGGAAGTCGAAGTTTAACTTATGGAGAAAAAAAAAGCCTCGTTCCTTATTTAGGGTTCCTTAAGTCAACGCCCCGACTGTAACCCAGAACCCCCATCTGGGTCATGAAATCATCATGGCGGGAGGCCTTCCGCTATTTTCGGCCTCTGGGGGCCTCGATTGGGCCCCCGGGGCCGTCAGCAAATCACTCAGGATCAGAAAGCCGGTCCCGAAGAACAGGTCGAGACCCATGGACGTCGACGCTATGAACGGAAAAGCATGGCGTCGGGGGTCTGGGTACAGAGAGAGGGAGAGAGAGGGATGGGCATCGTTCGCCCAGTGGCCCCAGACGGGTCGGCGCTTAAGAGAGAACCTCGTGATTCCAGGCTCGCACATCGTCGTCACCGTCCGACGTCGTCGTCCTTCTTCGCTCGTCGATCGTCGTCGCCGCCGCCGCCGCCAGCGTCGACGGCGTGGCTCGGCGGCGCGCTGATGGGGGGAGAGGAGCGAGAGCGCGCAGTCCTCCTCAGCGGGCGGCGGGGCTGCTCAGAAGCCCCGCCGCCTTCTGAGACGGCCTTCTCCTCTTGGCTTCCCCCCCTCGCTCGCCGCCGAATCTCGTCCCTGTGCTCCCCCCCTCCTTCCAAGTCCTTGTCCCGCTCCCTCCGCCTCCCCCGTGGCGGCGAGCAGGCAGGGCTGCCCGCGGCCTCGGCGAGGGAGCGGAGAGCTCCTCCAAGGGCCGCGGGCCGCCCGAGCCTCCCGCGGAGGCCCGCCCCCCCTGCCTTGGCCACCCTGGGCGAGCCGCCGAGCAGTCGCCTTCACCGTCGTCGTCGCTGCCGCCGCCACCGCCGCCGCTGCCAGCGCACCGCCGCCGCCGCCGTCGTCATCGTCGTCGACATTGTCGTCGTCGTCGCCGCCGCCAACGTCAACGTCGTCGTCGTCGTCGTCGTCGTCGCCTCGCGGCGCCAGGCATAGACGCCATAGTGCAGTGCGGGACGAACCTGTCCATGGTCGGATTGGCCGACCGGCTGGAGCACGAGCTCAAGATTCCGGTCACCGGCCGCGCCGTCGTCGCCGCCGCCGCCGTCGCCGTCGTCGTCGTCGGCGCCGTCGTCGTCGTCGTCGTCGTCGTCGTCGTCGTCGTCGTCGTCGTCGTCGTCGTCGTCGTCGTCGTCGTCGTCCTCGCGAGAGGGGGTGTGTGGACGGACAGAAGGTGGCGGGGGAGGAGCAGGGGACGAGGAGGAAGGGGGAAGAAGGGCGGGGGAGGAGAAGGAGGTGGAGATGAGGAGGACAAGGAGCAGGAGCAGGAGCAGGAGATGGAGGAGCAAGGGGAGAATGACGAGCACCAGCAGCAGCAGTGGCAGAAGGATGGTCAGGAGCAGGGACAGCACCACCGCAGGGGGGAGAAGCTCGCGGGCTTTTGCAGGAAAGGGGGGAAGAGGAGGAGGAGGAGGACGGAGGAGGAGGAGGAGGACGGAGGAGGAGGAGGAGGAGGAGGAGGAGGAGGAGGAGGAGGAGGAGGAGGAGGAGGAGGAGGAGGAGGACGGAGGAGGGGGCGCGTGCGGAGCACTCCGAGGCCGAGAGAACGAGAGAGAGAGAAAGAGAGAGAGCGAGAGAAAGAGAGCATTCATCATTCAGCATGTTACGCGGGACCCAGGTGCAGGCCTGGCCGCTTTGCCGAAATTGAGCGCTTCATGGCCTTTCGCAGATACAGCCTCACGAGGCTCACGGGGGGGGGCGGACATTGCAGCGTGAAGTTTCGCGCACTGGCGACGCCGAAACACCCACACCGAGAAAACACACCAAAAGAAACCACCGCTTAGCGTGGCGAGAACCTTTCGAAGGGTGGGAGACGGGAGCCGAGGAATGCTCGGGCGCGGCGCGCCGAACGGCCGTCCTCGCCCCCGCCCCGCAACCCCAACTGGACCCCCGGCGCCCCCCCGCTGGCTCGCGCAGGTGACCAAGCTCGGGCTCCTCGCGAGGCTGGGGCGGCAAAGCTCAGGAGGGGGAAGAAACACACAGACACAATTCTTCGTCGAGTCCCAGAAAATATGGGAAAGTATGGGAAGTGGGGGGGAAGACAAACACCGAGAAAAGATTGGAAAATATGGGGGATCCTTTTATTTGTGTGTATTTATTTGCGTGTCTCAGGGCCCCTTCAAAAGCCTTGGGCAGCACACCCCGACGTGAGAGCCTCGAGGAGCACCTGCGGCACTCGATCGGCGCAGTTCTGCCCACCGGGGGTGCGCCCCCGCTGCACGCGCAAGCGCTCCAGAGGGGCAGCCGCAGGGCCGCCGCAGGGCCCTCGAGACACGGACGCGCCTCGTGGCCAGTCAGTGCGCCCACGCGCACGCTGACACCGTCACGAGCACTTGACGCTGGCATTCCATAGCAAGCAAGTGGCCGCCACTCTCACGATGGAGGGTGTCGCCGGCGTGGGTGGCGCGCTGGCCTGCTCGTGGGGAAGGGGCACCCCGACTCGCGGCCTCGGCAGCGCGCGCGTCGGCAGCTGCAGGCATCAGCCTCTCGATCCATGTCCCGGCCCGAGGCCTCGATTTGATGAGCCGTGGGATGAGACTTCGCCTGTCGCAAATCCATGCCCCCTCCCCTCCTGTCAACCTCCACCCAAATCAACACCCTCATATCGATCATGGGCGAGTCCTCCAGAAAACACCCCCGGCTTCCGAGGCTCCCGAACCGGATTGAAATAACTTGAGAAAGCAGCCATCTCCTTCCAGCACTCCGTCGCAGCAATCTGATAAAAAGCAATAAGCTCGGAACGAGGGGAGCCCTGAACGTCTCCAGTCAGCGTGCCACAAAGCGCGCCATCGATATCATCCAAAGACAGAGCGAGCCTACAAACAGCCCAGCCACATCGCCTCAGTCTCCAGTCCTTATTCTGAGCCCCCCGACCCATCTATGCCAAAGACCTCGCCCGAAACAACCTGGGACCCATAAAGAGCTCCATAGTTCCACATCATCGCGGTCGGGGCCGAGTGGGTTCCCATCGGTCTGTCTTTAGGCATAAGACCGCGGCGCCACAGAGCAGGGCAGGCTTCAAACTCTTGAGCGGCTTGCGGGCACAACTTCTGCGTTCGATCAACAACCACCGACGGTAATTGCCCGTTGCATTCACATCCCCTGAACCTGTGGTAGGGGATCTCTGGTACTCGTCCGCACCTCCTTCCAAAAGCCTCCACTCACCAGATTCCGAAGAACCTCTTGGCCCTCACCATCAAAACCACGGGCCATTTTCCACAGAAGAGAACGCACCGAGGATAAATCAACTCCTCTTCCTACCCCAGCACCAATACAATTCATCTCGGCCCGGGCATTGATGATGGACTGGCAGGTTTGCTGCAAGCTCTGCCAGAGAAAAATGGAATGAAGTTGACGCGCTCGATGGCCGACTCCCCCCCCCCACTTGGAACGCTCCGCTGGTGCGGCGCAGCATGAACCAGGCCACACAAGCAATCCACATGCTATCCATTTGTATCTTCTGCTTCAGGGGCAGCCCCTTCCAGAGCTGCCGAAATTCAAGAAGCTGCTCACGCCCCAACCGAAAAATAACATCACTCTTGCCAGCATCCATTAATCCCAAGAGCGCACTAGCACTGGACCCAGGACTGCATCACCCTGAAAACTTCGACGCAAGCCCTCGGACGGTTTGGGCCCGCAGCGGCGGCGTCCAGAGAACATGATAGCTCAAAGCCCTGACAGCCAACACCCTTGATTTCTACACTTTAGAAGTTCGTGTGCAGATAGTAGTGAGGCACCCATCTTTCCAAGCCTTGCGCGCAGCATTTGCGCGCCTAGTCATCAAACTGAACGTGGACCGCCCTTTGTCAGAAGTCGCAGCAGCACCCAAATCACGGGCAGCACCGTGCACCTTGACGCGGACCCGGACAGATTTGAGGTCGCGGTATTGACAGTATGTTTGCTTGACACACTAGCGCGCTTGACCGACATCTTGACCTCCTGGCTCCTGCGCAACGCAGCGGGCACCTGGTCATAAATCTTCTCCGGGCCACCATCCTGAACATTGTGAGACACTTCCTCCACGCATCCCTGGACAACGACCTCGAAGGGAATTCGATTTCGCAAATCATTCATCATTGGGTGCAGGTACACCTTCGTCCAGGGCATACTCAGGAAACACCCAGGGATGTTGACCATCCCAGAAGAAGTAGGCCCCGAGCAACGCCCACCAGTCTCCAACATCCCCGCAGCAGCATGCATCAACAGTCCCATGTACGCAAGTCGAGGTGGAAGTTGAAGATGGCATCCACAACGAAAAAGCTTCACAGGGCAGATGGCATCAATCAAATTGCTCGGGTTCCAGTGCAGCGCAGCAGAAACCAGTCCTTCGAAGACGGACAATTCGTGGCCAGGCTCTGACCTCAGCGCCGCTTGGAGAGCACAACTACATCGCACAGCCGCGCCCCAGAACTTCACATGATCTCGAGACCACTCGTCCAAGAAAGACCCCATGTTTTTAGTGCACAACCTGAACAGCGCAGGACATTTACAGACACGCCTCTCATCGACCTTTCTTTTGAGCAGCAGGGTGACCACTCCAAGCTGGAGTTGCTCAGGCTACGCCAGAAGTGCCTCGCACTCCCGACATATTGCAACCAGCATAAGGACCCCGGGAGGCGCCTTCAAAAACTCGCGTGGACCCGAGTGGTCGGCTCCAGTCGCAGTGCCCCCGTGGAAAGTGCGACGCGCAACAGAGACAACGCGGCACTCAGAATCAGGCAGTTCGGTTTGGAATCTTCCCGCGATCTCCTCAAGCTCTTCCAGCGCTTCCCCAAGCTCTTGGACGCGCCAATCCTTGGCCCCGACAAGCCCCGACCAGCAATTTCCCCAACAACTCGTCCAATGCTTCATCACCTCTCCAGGAAGCTGATGGGCCCCATCAGGGGCGGCGAAGTGCTCGAGAACGTCAACTTGGCCCCGCTTCAGCCAGCGGTGGCCCTTCTCAGCCACGCCCAGGGGTGCCTTATTTGGCCAATCCTTGATCGCCCGAGCGGTGTCCTTCTGATCATCTGCCCAGGCTTGAGGGAGCAATTCCGAGCAGTCGCACATCAGATCCCCACCGTCACAGTATCAGGCAGCGCGATCGCAGCAAGCTTAGCTTGCCACCCCAGCGCAGCCTGGAAGGCTGGCATGCTGCCGGGATGACGAGGCACTCGCGCTCCGCGAGCGCAGGGTCGTCGCCCAAGATCAGCAAGGACACGGGAACGCCATACATGAGAGAGGCCAGCCTTTGGCCCGCACAGCTCGCGGCAAGCGTGGGACCAACAGCACGACCCAGGGTTCGAGTAAGCATGTCCATTGCTATAACGGGGGCCAGGGACGCACGACTGGCTTTTACACACTTCCCTCTTCACATAAATTGGCCAATCTCACGGTCGGGTCCAACGCACTTGCCGACCAACGTTAACCATGCTTTTCGACCACGGCAAGGAGGCACGGGAGAGGCTAGCAGACAGATGAGCATGCACATGTGGGGTAACATTGCATTTGACGTGACCCCCTAGCTCGACAACATCACGAACCACTTTCTGGACATGTCGATGCCATGGCAGAGCGGGCCTGTCAAACAGAAGAATCGAGCGTGGATTCGACCTCCTGGGCATATCCCGAACAAGAGCTGCAGAAGGTAAGTCAGCCTGGATGCAAAAGAGCGTCGTAGAAGGCGAGGCCTCCTACTTAGCCACCTGAGCGCCAACACCTCGGCAGCAACAACATAATCGATCAACGTGCTTGTCGCTTGACTGCATGTGAAGGCGACACCTGCATGTGGAATCGCACGACCCCTGGCCATCTTCAAAAAGCCGCACAGCTCCGCGAGGCAACATCGAAGTTGAAATCCCCCATGATGACTCAGGGAATTGAGGGCACTTCAATGAACGCAGCAATCTCCTTCAAATTAGTCAGATTCTCACCAGCGACTCCCAACCTTACTGTCATATAGACGACACCCACGCCCAACGCGGACATTTTTGCACGCAACGTCTTTCACCCCTCCATCGCGAGAAACTTACCTTTTTGAAAGAAAGGGATTCTTTAACTACCACCCCACCGACTCCCACATGGGGCCCTCTTCCAGAGGTGGCTTTCGCATGGCAAAAGCGAGGGCGTCACTTCATCGTGGCGCATTCCCTCTCGGCAGCTTTCAGTTGATGGGGCAACAGGCGGTTCTCCGCAAACAGGGACGCGGCAGCCTTTGAAATGAATGGGGGCACAAACGCTTCCGCTTGTTTACCCACGCTCGTGATGTTATTACAAAAGAGGAACCTCGCACGACGCGACCTGGAGTCAAACCGACTGTCGCTGCAGGCCAGTAACCGCTGCCGACTCCAGGTTTTTCAACTCACTGGACACTGGCTCCGTAGAAGGGCGAAGCTTCATGCTCACAACTCCGCGTACGCAAACCTTTGAGTTCATCCACCTCCCCCTCTTTCACTACCATCATCACTGCCAATATCATCGGCCTCATGCGCCTGAATTCGCATGGCCACGGCTAGGAACTGCTGCATGTTCTGGGCATGCAGCCGGTGCGATTCTGCCCAATCGCGCAACTGAGCATCACCCATCATACTGGCACCAGGAATATCACCGATTCCCGTTGCCTCATCAGGCTGCTCCGGTACTGGTACAGCTTTAGCGGCAGGGGCCTCAGCAGGCGCAGCAGGGGCCCAAGGCACAGCCCGAGCGGGCATTGCGTGGGCTCCTCTTGCAACAGCCGCTTCCACATATACTTCCAATGCCTCATTTTCATCAACAAGCTTATCTCGAAACGTTTGAGCTTCTGACTCCCAACGTTGAACATCTTGCACTGCCACGCGCACGGACTTTGCCGCCTTCCCAACAAGCTTCGTAAGTCTGGTCCGTTCAGTGATGGCAGCACTGGCAAGCTGCCTGGGCCTTCATGGCACGGCCGCGAGCGGTGGATGAAGGAATACAAGCCTCCGGCGAGCTCAGGCTTGGCCGCGGGAAGAAGGGCAGCAGCAGAACGAAGATCAACAGGATCGCAAAACACTGCATTACCATACTTCGCCTCTTGCCCAGCGTCCTGTCCTGGTGCACTCGGCAAATTCACCGCCGCGCTTGTTGCAACACCACTTTCGAAAGGACAGATATTTCCAGCGGCTGCACATCGAACAGGCACCGTAGGGTTTGGACGTGCTGGAGTCGCAGGCCTTGGACTGACGCTGGCCATCACGGCGATCCCATTGTCCACCACGGCGCCACCGGTTACGATGTTCCCACGCAATCTGTTCAGACTGCCTCTGATCCCTGGACTGGTCTTGCAGGAGCCCACACCTTCATAGAGGCAGCCTGGTCGGACATCTTGAGCCAATATGGCTACGGCGGAGAGAGAGAGAGAGAGAGAGAGAAAGAGAGAGAGAGCGAGAGAGGAGGAGGAGGAGGAAGAGGAGGAGGAGGAGGAGGAGGAGGAGAAGGGAGAAGGAGAAGGAGAAGGAGGACGAGGAGGAGGAAGAGGACGAGAGGTGGGGGTGACGAGAAACGGACGGGGGCAGGGCTGAGAGGAAGAAGGAGGGGGAGGGAAGAAGGAGGGGGGGAGGCCGGGGGGGAAGGAGGCGAAGAGGCGGAGGGGGGTTCGCTCATGGGAGGAGGCGCTGAGAACGCAGAGGCGGCGCATCCTCTTCCCTCCTCCTCTCCTCATCCCTCCTCCTCCCCTCCTGCTCCTTCTCCTCCTTCCTCCTCCTCCTCATTCCCCCTCCTCCCCCCTCCTCCTCCTACTCCTCCTCCTCCGCCTCCTCCTCCTTCCACCCACTCCTCCTCCTCCTCCTCCACCTCCTGCTCCTCCTACTCCTCCACCTCCTGCTTCTCCTCCTCCGCCTCCCCCTCTTCCTCCTCTACTCCATCCTTTTCCTTATACATAACTTCTCCCTGTCACACCCCGAGGCCAGTTTTCAGGGCGGGCTGGGCGTTTCGTTTGAGATTCCCTCACCGTTGATGATCCTGAAGCTTAAAAAGTGGCAGCGGTTTCACATATGGAGGTCGGGTGGTTTTCAGACTGTGGCTCTCGCCTTAGCGCCGTTCACATGTGTTTTTGATTGAGGGCGGGTCGTTTTCAAAATGTGGCTCTCGCCTTAGCGCCGCGCACATTCGTTTTAAACATTTGCACTAGGTGCACGTATTGAGGGCGGGTCGTTTTCAACATGTGGCTCTCGCCTTAGCGCCGCGCACATTCGTTTTAAACATTTGCAAGAATTTCACGAATTGAGGGCGGGTCATTTTCAACATGTGGCTCTCGTCCCAGCGCCGCGCACATTCGTTTTAAACATTTGCAAGAATTTCACGGATTGAGGGCGGGTCGTTTTCAAACTGCGGTTCTCGCCTTAGCGCCGCGCACATTTGTTTCAAACATGTACAAGAGCTTCACGGATTGAGGGCGGCTCCTTTTCTAAATGTGGTTGTCGCCTTAGCGCCGCGCACATTCGTTTTGCACATTTGCAAGAGTTTTACGGAATCCAATGATCAACTCACCAAAAATGGTGTTTTGGAAGGATTCAAGATTATGCGAGTGCAGCAGTTATGTTGAGTCGCGGTGTTGAAGGCCCAGAAACAACGTCCTGGTACGTTTCCGGATCGTCAAGACGCAGCAGTAAGGTTGATCCGTGGCGTTGAAATCCCGAGAACCATGTTTTGTCATGCTTCGGGATCTTCAAACGGTCGTCTTCCAACGAGGCAGGTCCCTCAATGGAAAAGGAACCGATGTAGGGGCTTATGAAGAGGGAGCTTGGAGGGAGGGTTAATTCCAACATCGTTGATGACTCTTGGGTGTACACTGGTCCTCTTCCTCCTCCTCCTCCTCCTCCTGCTCCTCCTCCTCCTCCTCCTCCTCCTCCTCCTCCTCCTCCTCCTCCTCCTCCTCCTCCTCCTCCTCCTCCTCCTCCCCCTGCACCTCCGACCCCCAGTGAGCGGGTGTTGCTGCAGGTTCCATCGGCCTAAGGTGCCCCAAGCTGTTCGCTCCCTTCTGGAGCCGCTGGGGCCCTCTGGGCCATGTGAGGGGTGCTCTGGAGGGCGCGGGGGCCTGCTTGGACATCCCAAGGGCACCTTGGGCCAGGGGCGCTTCTAGCAGCACCAGAGGTGATCGCCATCAACGCCGCCTGCCTCTGGTTCGGCCTGCGCGAGGCCGGGCTTGACGTGAGGCTGCAGGGCTGCACCAGGCTGCTGCGCGAGTTCTGAGAGCGACGACGCCGCCGCGGCGGCGCCGCAGGCGCGCCTCGGCCCACTCTGCGCGCCGAGGCGCTGGCTGCGTGCGACCGCGCGGACGCGCGCGCCCGCGCACAGAGGCATTCCAGGCCTCCCAGATGGGGTCGGAGCATCGTCCCGCATCGCCGATGCATCGGCGATGTGGGTCGATGTGGAGCCAGATCTTCTCCACGCCGAAGGCGGCGATGCCTTGTGGGCGTCGGCGATGCATCGGCGATGCGGCGCGATCCTCCGAACCCATCTGCTCCGGCCCTACCTGGGTGGCAGGCATGCGCCGCATGCGCGGGCGGGTGGACAGAGCCGAGGGGACCACAGCGGGCCGTCCGCGCTGTTTTTCTTATTGTCCAGGGCGGACATTCTATCGATGCGCACGGGCCTTCGATATGTCTCGGCGCCGGCGGAGGCCGAGCAGCAGGAGCAGAGGGCAGCCAGGTTTTCGATACGCTTCTGCGACTTTCCAGATCTCCGGCGATATGATCTTTCCTCGGCACGACCGACACGGTTACAACTAAAATTATTAGGAAGACCGACAGCAGCCCCTTCTCATGTTAAATAGGATTCGCTGCCGGTGTTGCCGCGGACGTGATGTATTCAAGACAGAAGGCCGCTTGCCCAACAGCGGCAGCTGTTGGTTTGGAGAACATCTGCTGTTAGGGATCGCGTTCATGATTTCAGTGCACATTTCGGGCGTCCAGATTTTCAAGCCGGGAGGGAGTTTTCCCCAATTCTGGCCTTCGGGGTCCCATTCACGGGCCCTGGGGAAGCGGTCGGGATCTCTGGGGCCGAGGATTGACGTGTTATGGTTACTCTAGAGGGTTACGCCACATCCGCCGACCCCTTAACTGAGTTCAAGGTTTTGATGGTGCTTTTCGGTGTTTGGAGGGTTCACGTCGCGCAGTTGGCAAGCATTTCAGTGCAGTGGCAAGTGCCAGAGGAAATTGCCGAAGCCCGCTTTCTCCGTGGGCGCGAGCCATGTCGCGCGTGACGAGAAGAAGGGCACCTTGAAATGCACGGCGGGCAAATTATGCCAGTAGGGCGCCCGTGCCATGGCCCGTAGAAGTAGGAAAAGCGGGGGTGCGAGCGACAGGGAGGCCGAAACTGATGAAAAGAGGAACGCAAAACAAGTGAAAGCGGAGGAGGAGGAGCAGGGGGAAGATGGGGGAGAGGCGAAAGGGGAGTCAAAGAAGAGGGGGAGGAGGAGTCACGATCTGGTCTTGAGGCGTCACGGGGGCGTCTTGGAGATAGTGTATGGGCCTCTTGGGGGTTTCGTGCCTGGCGGGGGGGGGGGTCGAATTGCCGGTTTTGGGGGTCCCAGGTGGGGTGTTTTTTTTCTGGGGGAAGAGTGTTGCACACGCCTAGCGACCCCAAGGGGTCGGCGGATGACGGGAAGCGCGAACGAGGAACGAGGAGCGTGGACCGTTTTTCTTAAGGAAAAACCTTTATATGGGGCTCCGGATTGCATCCTGGCCGGGCGTTGGCGGATGACGGGAAGCGTCTTCGAGGTACGAGAAGCAAGCGGGACGTTCTGGCTGAATCCTTGAGTAAATAAATATATATCTTTATATCTATGGGTTGCGGGATTGCACGGTATTTTTCGTTGGCGGATGACGGGAAGCGTCTTCGAGGTACGAGAAGCAAGCGGGACGTTCTGGCTGAATCCTTGAGTATATATATATATATATATATATCTTTATATCTATGGGTTGCGGGGCTGCACGGGGGTTTTCGTTGGCGGATGACGGGAAGCGTCTTCGAGGTACGAGAAGCAAGCGGGACGTTCTGGCTGAATCCTAGAGTAAATATATATATATATATATATATATATATCTTTATATCTATGGGTTGCGCGATTGCACGGGGGTTTTCATTGGCGGATTCCCCAAAATGGCCATTTCGCTCGAGACATCCTCGAAACATCGAGGTGTTGGAGGTTATCGTTTAAGACGTCTTATGTCAAAAATGACGGTTTCGCTCGAGACATCCTCAAAAAATCTGGATGTTGAAAAATATCAAAAATTTTTGTTATGCATGAAAAATTAGCGTTTCGCTCGAGACATCCTCGAAAAAATGAGATGCCGACAGAGGTGTTTTAGAACCTCTTATGTCAAAAATGACGTTTTCGCTCGGGACGTCCTCAGAAAATGAGCAGGTGGTCTGCCGTGCTCCCGTGTGGAGCACGGCACACGGCAGACCCCACAGGAGCACGGCAGACCCCACAGGAGCACGGCAGAAATTTTTGTTATGCATGAAAAATGAGCGTTTCGCTCGAGACATGCTCGAAAAAATGAGATGCCGACAGAGGTGTTTTAGAACCTCTTATGTTAAAAATGACGTTTTCGCTCGGGACGTCCTCAGAAAATGAGCAGGTGGTCTGCCGTGCTCCTGTGTGGAGCACGGCAGACCACGGCCATTTCGCTCGAGACATCCACAAAAAATCGAGGTGTGGTCTGCCGTGCTCCTGTGTGGTCTGCCGTGCTCCTGTGGTCTGCCGTGCTCCTTTCGGTTCCTACGCGCGGTCTGCCGTGCTCCCTGAAGACGACGGAAAGGATGACCAAGACGAGGAGCACGGCAGACCAAGACGAGGAGCACGGCAGACTATGCCCTAAGAGTGCCCTCAAGACGGCCGAACAACGGCAGACCCCATAGGAGCACGTCAGACCACAGAAGAGCACGGCAGACCAACAGGATCACGGCAGACCACACAAGAGCACGGCAGGCCACACAGGAGCACGGCAGACCACACAGGAGCACGGCAGACCACAAAGGAGCACGGCAGACCACACAAGAGCACGGCAGACCCAACAAGAGCACGGCAGACCCCACAGGAGACGCAGCCCGACGGCAGACCACAGTACACGGCAGACCGACAAAGAGCACGTTCAGCCCATACAAGAGCACGGCAGACCACACAAGAGCACGGCAGACCCCACAAGAGCACGGCAGACCCCACAGGAGCACGGCAGACCCCACAGGAGCACGTCAGAGCAGACCCAAAAGGAGCACGGCAGACCACACAGGAGCAAGGCAAACCACAGGAGCACGGCAGACCACACAGGAGCACGGCAGACCCCACAGTAGCAAGGCAGACCCCAAAGGAGCACGGCAGAACACCGGAGCACGGCAGACCACACAGGAGTACGGCAGACCCCACATGAGCACGGCAAATCCCAAATGAGCACGGCAGACCACAAGAGCACGGCAGGCCACACAGGAGCACGGCAGACTCCACAGGAGCACGGCAGACCACAAAGGAGCACGGCAGACCACACAGGAGCACGGCAGACGCCATAGGAGCACGGCAGACGCCACAGGAGCACGGCGGAACCCACAGGAGCACGGCAGACCGCGCGCGGGTACAACATAAACGCGCCTTTTTGTTGTACCCCGAACGCCGCTGGCGTTTCCCCAACAGGAGCACGGCAGATCTCACAGACGCGCGGCAGACCCCGAATGAGCACGGCCGAGCACAGGAGCACGGCAGACCCCAAATGAGTACGGCAGACCCCAAAAGAGCACCGTAGACGCCTCAGGAGCACGGCTGACCACACAGGAGCACGGCAGCCTGGGCCGGTTCCGGCGCTGGCCGGCGCCGGAAAATTGAATTCCGAGGCGGTGCTGAAAAAAGGCCACTCCAAAACATGTTTTTCTTACGAAAATATTGATTTTCTGCTCCCGGCGCCCGGGAACCCCTTCCGGGCCGCTCCCGGTACCCGGGCCGGCGCTCGAGCCAAACGCCCGGGCCACCACCCGGGCCAGCGCCCGGGCCGGTTCCGGCGCCGGCCGGCGCCGGAAAATTGAATTCCGAGGCGGTGCCGAAAAAGGCCACTCCAAGACATATTTTTCTTTCGAAAATATTGATTTTCTGCTCCCGGCGCCCGGGAACCCCTTCCGGGCCGCTTCCGGCACCCGGGCCGGCGCTCTAGCCGAACGCCTGGGCCAGCACCCGGGCCAGCGCCCGGGCCGGTTCCGGCGCCGGCCGGCGCCGGAAAATTGAATTCCTAGGCGGTGCCGAAAAAAGGCCACTCCAAGACATATTTTTCTTTCGAAAATATTGATTTTCTGCTCCCGGCGCCCGGGAACCCCTTCCGGGCCGCTTCAGGCACCCAGGCCGGCGCTCGAACCGAACGCCCGGGCCGGCACCTGGGCTGGCGGCCGACGCGCGATGCGCTGCCACAAGCCAGCTTCCCGCAAGATCGGTCCATAGTGGGAGGGGACGGAGCTGGGCGGGTGAAGGACCACCAGAGCACTGCTCCAGCCTTCCCTCAGCCCTGGGTCTGCTGACCACACAGGAGCACGGCAGACCACACAGGAGCGCGGCAAACCACAAAGGAGCAAGGCAGACCCCAAATGGCACGGCAGTCCACACGTTCGCACGGCAGACCGCACAGGAGCACGGCAGACCGCACATGAGCACGGCAGACCAAGAAGGAGCACGGCAGACCACACAGGAGCACGGCAGACCACACAGGAGCACGGCAGACCACACATGACACGGCAGACCCCACGGGAGCACGGCAGACCACACAGGAGCACGGCAAACCACACAAGAGCACGGCAGACCATACAGGAGCACGCCAGACCACACAGGAGCACGGCAGACCACACGTTCGCACGGCAAACTCCACTGGAGCACGGCAGACCCCAAAGGAGCACGGCAGACCACAGGAGCACGGAAGACCGCACAGGAGCACGGCAGACCACACAGGAGCACGGCAAACCAAGAAGGAGCCCGGCAGACCACAGGAGCACCGCAGACGCCACAGAAGCACGGCAGATCGTCGTCGTCGTCATCGTCGTCGTCGTCGTCTTCGTCAATAACGATCTCGAAAATTACGACAAAAACGATGACAGAAAACGACCACAAACATAACACAAAAACCAACCGAACACGGAATCCAACAACAAAAAACAATCAGAAAAACGACCGCAATCATAAAATGATAACGACGGCGACAGCGAGAACGGCAACAGCGGACGATTGTAATGAAAACGACGACCACGACAAAAGAAAGGCACGCGACGACGACGACGGACAAACAAAAGACAAGACAGGCTGGAACAGAAAAAGTAGGCTGGGCGACAACGGGTGGGGGCCCGCGTGGCCGAGAGAAAAGCACGGTGTCGACACCCTGATGTGGCCAGGGCAGCAGACTACCTCGACAGACCAGCGCGGCAGGCCACCATTTAGTCTGTTCTGTTGCGTTTATGGGTTTCTCTGACGTTCTCGCCAATACGGTCTCTGACGCAAGTGGTGGATAAAAAACGGCGCTTCCCGTTCTTGTCCGGTCAGGTTCCCCAAAATGGCCATTTCGCTCGAGACATCCTCGAAAAATCGAGGTGTTGGAGGCTATCGTTTAAGACGTCTTATGTCAAAAATGACGGTTTCGCTCGAGACATCCTCAAAAAATCGGGATGTTGAAAATATCAAAAATTTTTGTTATGCATGAAAAATGAGCGTTTCGCTCGAGACATCCTCGAAAAAATGAGATGCCGGCAGAGGTGTTTTACAACCTCTTATGTTAAAAATGACGTTTTCGCTCGGGACGTCCTCAGAAAATGAGCAGGAGCACGGCAGGCGGAAAAAAAGGAGCACGGCAGACCACACATGAGCACGGCAGACCCCACAAGAGCACGGCAGACCACAAAGGAACACGGCAGACCAAAGAGACGACACAAGGAGCACAGCAGATCCCGCAGGAGCACGGCAGACACCACACGAGCACGGCAGATCCCAAATGAGCACGGCAGACCACAGAAGCACTGCAGACCACACAAGAGCACCGCAGACCTCACAGGAGCACGGCAGACCCCACAGGAGCACGGCAGACCCCCCAGGAGCACGGCAAACCACAAAGGAGCACGGCAGACCACAGGAGCACGGCAAACCACACAGGAGCACGGCAGACCACACAGGAGCACGGCAATCCCCACGGGAGCACGGCAGACCGCACGCAGGTACAACATAAACGCGCCTTTTGTTGTACCCCGAACGCCGCTGGCGTTTCCCCCACAGGAGCACGGCAGACCCCACACGCTCGCGGGAAACCCCAAATGAGCACGGCAGACCACAGGAGCACGGCAGACCACACAGGAACACGGCAGACGCCACAGGAGCACGGCAGACCGCGCAGGACGC